CTTAAGAATTGTGTTTTATTTAATACCTCCTAAGGAACTTCATCATCAAGTATGAGTTTTTCCTTTTCTTGTCCTATCATTTCGATGTCTTTTAAATGCGGAAGACGAATCCATGAGAAACATATGAAATATTAGTTAAAATAAAAATATCAAACATATATTAAGATATTAATTAATGTCGAATTAATCATAAATAGTAAATAAAATAAAATAGGATGAAACTTACAATGAACAACATCACATAAACATTAATTTAATTTTTTTTGTTACTTAAATTCAAATATTACATAAGAAAAAAACTACACCAAAGTTCATATTTGGTTCCTAAAGAAATAACATCACCCTCTTCTAGATATAAGATTTAACAACTTGTTAAAATGACTTATCCACTTGCTCATTCAAATGTGATGACTTGTCTTTCAACATATGTTGACAAATTTTTTGAGATGTTATTTTCTCGACCAATGACATCCACAAATACATCCACCTTGGTACTCAAGTTCTCAAACTGGATGTTCACAATATCAATCATTGAGACTATTTTTCTTAAATCTCGGGATGAGGACATACCACCAAATAGAATGGATGGAGTGTTCGAGGATCTTGCTTAGGTGTATCATCAAATGTGGGCTCCTCTGATATGTACTCCATTCAAATTAACAGTGTAAGTTTGTCTTTGGATGTATTGTCAGATTTGACATGTTGTACTTATTATCCCAGTGGCATGATCAGCACCCTAGAGTTCCTCCATCAAATCATAATGCCTGATGGGGTCACTCTCCATTTAACAACATAGGGTTTTGTATGAAGATAAATAACTCACATAACAAAATAAGACATTATATGTAATGGTTAAGATTGTTAATAATAAATAAAGTTTTATAGAACATCTCTTATTCCACTCTTGCCCTCAAACATTAATGTGAATTCATTCCAAACAAATCCACTAAATCTAACAAATAGGTCATATATCTCATGTCATCTATCTTTAAGGCTCTTTTATCTATTTTTAACATTATTCTTTCTTATACCGATCAATCCATACTGTCAGAGAGATTTAACAATGATATTGTAAGCCTGCAAGGTCCAACTTTCATCAACTTGGTTCCCCAAACAGGTCTCATCAACCATGATAGTTAGTAGTCGTAAGTCCATGTTTGATGTTCATTTTGTAAACTCTCAATTTCTTACAAATGACATAGGGATAATACTATTGTCTCTATTGATGTTATATGAATTGAAAAGACAACTGATATAAAAATTGTAACATAATCATATTTAAACATGATTAACCAACAAATGACTTAATAAGTCAATAAAACCATAACAACATTCATATGTATAAAAATAATTAACATAATAGTTTGATTGTTTTTATAGTGTCTCTAGATATTGTTTGCTATAACATTTCTAAGGTGTGACCCTTGCCTATAATCATCCTCTCGATATTTAGAGATGGATGCTTGGACCTCTTCTTTCATCAACTCTTTGATCTACTTCTGTCATAGTTGATGAGACCCGTTTGAGGGCTGAGTTGATGAAAGCTGGATCATGCAAGCTTACATTAACATTGTTGAGTCTCTTCAATAGTGTGAATTGGTCGGTGTAAGAAATAAAAATGTTAAGAGTAAACAAAAGAGCCTTAAGGATAGATGATACAAGATTCATGACCTTTTTTTTGACCTCATTGGGTTTGCTTAGAGTGAATCCACATTAATGTTCGAGACTGACAGTGAGATACGAGATGATTTAATAAAGATGTTCTATAAAAGTTTATTTATCATTAACAATCTTAGACATTACACAATGTCTTATTTTGTTATAGGTTGTTTATTTTCAAACAAAACCCTCTACTGTTAAATGGAAAGTGAACCCATTAGACATTTTGATTTGATGGAGGAAATCTGGGGTGTTAATCTATCACTGAGCATGGGGGAAGTATAACACATCAAATCTGATAATACATCTAAAGACATAGTTACACTATTGATTTGAATGATGACATGGAGTACATACTAGAGGAACCCACATTTGATGATATACTTGATTAAGTTTCTTGATTACCCTTATATGTGGATCCTTGTAATTTAGTTTTGATTCAATCTATTCCATTTGGTGGTTCGTACTCATTCTGAGGCTAAAAAGTTAAAGTCTCAATAATTGATATTATGGACACTTAGTTTGAGAACTTGAGTACCAAACTTGATGTATTTATGGATGTCATTGGTCAAGAAAATGATATATTAGAATTATTGTCAACATATGCCAAAAGACAAGTCATTGCATTTGAATGACAAGTACTTTGCAATTGAAAGAAGTGAACTTCTGACCGAGCAAGTAAGTGACATGCACAAGGCGTTAACATTACTAAAAAATTGACATTGGGGACATGTTAATTATAATTAACATGCACATTGGAGATGACCAAATAATAAATCAATGTTATGATTTTTTATGTATTAATTCGTCACATGTAAAATGACTATTCAAGATGCCCCTAGAATGTCGTTTCAAAAAGTTGTTAAATTTTATGTCCGAAAGAGGGTGATTATATTGTCTTTAGGAACCATATATGAATTTTGGTGTAATTTTTTCCTTTGTAATATTTGAATTCAAGTAACGGAACAATCAAATTAATGTTTGTGATTAATTGGTATCAATTTAAACCTTAATATATGTTTGATGTTTTCATTTTAACTAATGTTTCCAGTTTTGTACCTATGTATTTGTCTTCAACATTTTAAAGATATTAAAGTGTCAGGACAAGGAAAGGAAAAACCCGTGCAACTAATGATGAAGTTCCTCGAAGTGTTGAAGATGTATTAAATAAAACATGATTTTTCAACATGCATGATAAAATGATAGAATATGGGATGACCTTTCAATATAAGAAATTTTTGACCCATAAAAGTAGTGAATTTTCTCATATTTCACATACAAGGATGTATTTCCACTATCATTTATAATTTCAAGTTTTTCGAACACTTTTTGATGTTAGAAGCCCTGTTCTATGGATATTTCATTAGAGGATTTTATTCGACATGAAAGTCACACAATGTGGTAACTTGTAGAGGTTAATAAGACCAAGATAAAAATTACACATGCGGATTGATTGATTCTGGCTAATTTAAAGTATCAAGGTCAGAAACTATCATATCCTACTATCCTTGAATACATGCAATATGATCAAGATACGACATTGAGTTCCATGCTAATACCAAAAATGCGCAATGTTAGGAATGCATAGAGTTTGAATATGAATGATAAAATCCTATATTACGTCCTTGCTCATGTTCAGACTCCTCAAACCACTATTATGCAAAATTGTCTCGTGAAAACATTTTCTTGTTATGGGTCTTTAAAAATAGTATTTTAATTAATTGGTCACATCATATATGCAATACATGATGAAATATAGGAACAAGAACCATCTTTCACACGTTATTTTGATAAGCCACGTCATATCTCACTATGACGTCAACTTAATTATAAATTTAAGCATCACCCATGAGGAAATTAATGACACATTACTTCGATAAAAGAACGTTTTGTTAATGTGAGAGTCGTACGATAATATAGAATTGTAAACCAAGAGGATGAAAATAATTATAATGAAGACCTTGTAATATTTGACAACGATGCGATCGATATTGGATCAGGAGGCTTACTACATCGTAATGTGATCTAGCATGATGTCGTTCCCCCTGATTCACAAATTTGAAGTGGTATTCAGTAAATCCAATTTCAATTAAGTATTTTTAACTTGATTGTCAATCAAGATTTTAAGATGGTACGCCGAGTAATTAATAATGTACAGATATTTGAAGACTTTCAATTTATTTGTTTTTAACGAAAATAGACATACTTTATTTTCTTTTCTTGTAATATTATTGTAGTACAATATTGGTTAAAATTATCCTATTTTGTTTTTTTTGAATTTTTATTTTAATTAAATTTTTATTGTTACACATGTACTCATCACACATAATTTATTCTTAATTTAGCTTAATAATAATAATAATTATTATTATTATAACAATAAATATATAAATAATAATAATTCTAATTATAAGAATAATTATTATAATAATTTTAATAATGACTTTTTTATTCTAATAATTAAATAAAAATAATTCAAATATTTATAATTCTTTAAATTCTAATACTAATAATTATAATAATAGTTTTCAAGAAAGGGGCAAATCTCCTCATTTTATTATTAAAATATTATTATTAAAATATTTATAATTTTTTTCTTTTGCATTTTCTATCATCTTTTCGTTAATCCAAACAATACCTAAAACAAAGAAAAAAAAATCTAAGTGTTGTTAAAAAATATATATTAACTAATATACTAACACTGAAAAACTAGGATTTTTTTATTACAAAACTGTAGAAGTTTAAAGATTTGTTGAGATAAAACAAAAGTTCAGTATTCCTATTTTAAAAGTGATTGTGTACGTGTGTTTTTTTCTCTTCTTTAGTCATAAAACATATTTCTTTTGGAAGCCATTAAAGAAGTGTTATTTCTGTATAAGAAAATTGAATAAAAACATATATAATTACAGCAGAGATTAGAAGAGAAGAAGAAATGACAGAGAAAACGAGAAGTGCCATGAAGAAAAATGCTCTAAGAGTAATAATATTCTTTTGAATATTGCTATGCATGAGGTCGTCTCTTGACTTCAACAAATTAAATCTTCAAATATATACGTTGATGCCGGTTTTGTTTGACCATATGTGTGATGCATAATGTAACATAGTATTCGTGAAGACATTCAATCCTGAAAATATGTCATTAATTTTGTTTTGAGAAAATTCTACCTTAATAGTCGTCGTTGAAGACATTTATATATTTTGCTAAAACATTTATTTCAACATCCCAACAAACAAAGTCATGATTATATGTAAAATTTACCAAAACCACAACAAGCATTTGTCTATTTCTTCTTCTATGTCACGACAAAACTAACAACACCAAATTACAAATACCATAAAACTCATTGCCTCTCCAAATCATGATCAACACCACCGTCTGCATCATCGTGGCCATGTGGTTGGACTCTTCTGGAAGATCTTTCCCTACTAAGCATCCTTTTAAACGAACTCAACCGTGAATTAGAACCACTATTTTTCAAAGACTCACCATTATCATTATTGTTACTGTTACTATCAGCACCATCAAATATAAGAGGTGCATCATCAAGAGCAAGAGAAGCAGGACCTTCACGATCATGTGGTTCGAGTCGAGGTTTAACCTCTGCTCGACAGAGAGGACACGTGGAGTGAGAACCAAGCCATGTGTCGATACAACTTATATGAAAAAAGTGTTTACAGTTTGGTAGTAACTTGACTTTTTCTTCACCTTCTAGGGCATTTAAGCACACAACACACTCCCTTATCAATGAAGCATCAAGATTATCATTACCGCCACCACTATCTTTCAGAACCTTTGCTTTGACGGGAAAGGTTGGCAGCGAGGCTATTATTGCAGGATCGAGTCCTGTGTTTGATGGTTCGACCCTGCTACGTGCAGAGTCGACGTCAGAGACATGAAGGGCTGCTAGGGTGAGTCGGTGAACGGCGGCGCGGTGGCGAGATCGGCGCTTTAGGAGGCAGCGTGCGTAGACATAGAGGGAGAAGACGAGGAACAAGACAACTATGAAGGAAACCATGGATATGAACAATATTTTGACGTTGCTGTTGTTTGATTCGTCGCGGGTTGGAACATATGGGATGTGGTGGTCGTGATCATCGTCGAAGATATCCATGGTTTTGTGTGAGAGACAAAGAGAAAGAGGAAGAGAGAGAGAGAGGGTATCTCTGTGGTGGAAGAAAAGAACTAAGAATGAATGTTTGTTTCTTCTATGAGTTGGTTTCTTATGCGTTTATAGGTGAAGAAAATTTGTTCCTGTTTTTTTATTTCCTTGTTTGTGTTGTGGTGGGTTCGCAGGGAGAAATTAATTAAGTAACTTTGTTGTTTTTTTATTATTATTAAAAATAAAACTATTCTATTTAATTTTTGTTGAATAGTTGACTTCAATGTATAAATGGTTCTTACAACTAGAAGTTCCCAAGTATGGTTTTTAAGTAATATTTGTAAAAAATAATAAAATTATTGTTCTCGTGTTTTTTAATTAAATGATAACGTAAAATCTTTTTTATATTCTTCAGCCACTGTACTATTTATATAATTTTACTAATAATAAATCTTGATAAAAAAATTTCACGTACCATCCTTAATAATAATAATAATAATAATAATAATAATAATAAAAACTTTTACGTTACGAGTATTTATATAAATACATAAAAGTAAAAGTAAACTTTTAAAAAGGTAAAATTCTACTTTATAATTGGATGACTCAAATAAAACCAAATAGAATTCTAATTTTCATAAGATTAGTTAAGTTCAAACTTATATATTTTTTTTGTTTTTAAAATTCCAATTAAATCACTTCAATCAAATATAAGTACGATGAATTTGAATTTCATTTTATCTAAATCCTGAATTAATTCAACACGCGAATACTCTTATAACATTTTTCTCGTATGGGGAATTTTTTTTTATCCAACAAATAGAAGAGTTTTTTTGTTTTGGAAACACGTGGAAGTAAAAAATGAAAAGTCAAAGAAACTTCCATTTTTTTCAAAACTTTGACCGTGAAAGAGAAAAAAAAGCCCAATGACGTTTACTCTTCGTATTCGTTCATCGGCAAAACAATTGGGAACCGAACCGTAGAACTTATAACACCCTTTTGATGCAACACTCATCAAGAAGATGCAACGTTATTTCTTATCTCCATAATTTATTTTTCTCCATCTCATAATTAAAATAAATCTCAATTTATTCTTATCTCTATTTTTTTTAAATATATTTTAAATTGTCTGTTTTTAAAATATATTTATGAAACACTTAATTTAGAAATGAGTTTTGCAATATTTAATATGTAATATATTTTTAATTGAGTGTTTCAGAAATATATTTTAAATTAATTGTTTTGAAATTCATTTTTAGTAAAAAAGTATTCGGATCATTTCACATAAGTTACGAATATGCAGAAAAATATAAAACAAAGAGCGACGTGTAATTAGTAATAACGAACCTCCTTAGCCCAAGCCCACTTAAATTGTTGGTTGAGGTAAGACGATTGGAATAAGGTAAGCAAATATGTGTTAACTTTTATTCTTTTTCCTAAGATAATATTATTAAAATTCATCATTATATTTAAAATTTTATTCATTTTTAATTAAATAAAAAATATTTATAAATTATTTTAAATTCGAGTTGTAAATTATAAAAATTTATAAGAAAAGAAAATATATTATAAGTCATAGATATTGTTTTTTTTTTCAAATATTTCTAGTTGGTATGATCATTATCAACAAATATTTAGTGAAATATACATAATAAATAAAAATCAATTAAAATTTATTAAACTTTTGTATTAGTAATATATGCTTATATCTAGTTAATGATTTTTCTTTATCCTCGTTTTTCTGATTAGTCCTTCGTAATTTGGTTTTCCAATTATTTATTTATTATTACTTTGCATGATGAAATTGAAAACAAAAGGTATTACAAGGGAATCAAAGTATTATTAATTTTCTCTAACAAATTAAAAGAACAAATCAAAAAAAGTTAGGGTTTGCAACATATTCTGTACAAAACAACTTAAACTGATTTATAAGTAGTAGTAAACTAATTAATATGTCTGCAACAACTTGATAGAATTTATGTTTTCAATATCATTTTGATTAGTCAATACCCCAAGCTCCACATGGTAAAAATATTAGTGCACCTTTTGTTTCTCTCTCTGGTAGCAATTAGTTATGGATTAATGCAATCAGCAACATGCATTTTCACTTTTGTGAATAAACTACATTTATAACTTGTGTTAGGAAGAGATTTAAGGGAAAGAAGACATTTTATTGCTAATGAAATAGGCAAGTCTGTGAATTATCAAACGTTATACCAGAGTTTCAGAATCACATTTTCCATATTCCAACCTTAGCCTACTATGTTTGGATATTCTTTCAAAAAGTACTTCTGAGTGTCAAACACCCTTTTAGAGAAGGATATCTTTGTATTTTTTAGTCTGAAAAGTACTTTTGGAAGGATCTGAACGGCAATCCAAAACATGCTACGAAAATTAGACTTATGAGCCAGGATTCAGTTGTGTCATAGATGATCTAGTATCCTCCATAAATCCAAGTACTTTTACCACAAATTCATTATCCTTTGAAGTTTTGAGTTCAAGTCAGCAGAATGAAAGTCCTAGATAGGTAGGATGAGCATGCATATCCCTTGTACGCTATACATGCCAACTCTGACTTCTGTGTAAAAAGTGACATTAAACAAACTATAAACAATGTATAGATAGCTACTAATGATAGCCTGAAACGCCGAGTCTTCAATTTGTTATTGTTTAATTTTTCTTCTAAATTTGATGTCACATAGCTTGATTGTAATACTGATGAAGCCTACAGTTATGTATATATAGGGGATACTCATCATGGGGATGTTGACCATTATTTCTGCTGTTTCAACAACCACGTGCACGAATGTACCAAATAAATAGCAAAAGAAAAGAGATGAGTTTCATGAAACTGCTGAAACTATTCCACAAATCTTAACATAATGCAAAGGGGTGTCAGCCCTTTACGTCAGAAACAAAAAGCAAATAATCTGCATACATTATGGAATTTATAGTTTTCAATGACAATACTGTTGAGTGAACATGAAGCTGACAAACAAATACACTGTTACTGACCATATGGTTTAAGGAAATGTTTGACTTCCAAAATGTTCCTTTAAAGGTCGTACTTGAGGGGCAAGGAAAAGGGAAGCCATATTCTCTTCCTATCACAGGGGAGAATAAGTCCAAAGCACATGACATTTTGTTTCTTTGGATGTGCTTTTGCCGAGAATGGACATATAACCTCTGATTTTCACTAGATATCTGATGAAATATGATATTCTCAACATTCACAATAAAGTAAGGACTAAAACCACCAAATTCAGCTCAAGGACATTTCATCAATGTAAATTTTACAGATAAATATATATAGATAGCAGGGTAAAATTAAGGGAACTCACTTTAAATTTAAAACCAAAAAAGGAAAGACAAATTGAAAGGAAATCTTTGTAGATCATAACAATGTGCCTACTGAATCTCCACTCGGTCGCTGATCTGGTAGAGAACACTCCTGCATGCATGAGAGAAAACTTGTAAGAAAATGTTCGCACTCGAAAAAAAAGAGATGCGTGAGAGCAATTTAACCAGGACTAGTTAATTGGGAGGGGGGTAAATAACTTTGTTACTTGATTTGAAGCTTTGCATGGGATATTGCTTTGCCTCGTTTATAATATTTGTTCCATAAAAGGCAGAATATGACAACTGTGCTAACATTATCAGGAACAATTATAAATCTTCTCTCAACATATTCCAACTAATCCTTCTACTTCCTTTGTATAGTAAGTATTGAATGTGTTTTAATTTAATATTTTCTTTATGAAGTAGTAGAAAGGTTTGTAAGAAGATAACTCTATTGTGAGTGGAATACCTGATATGAAGACTACAGAAGTGTCCAGTTCTTGTTGTGGGTCAGTGGATAGAACTAGTAGAAGAAGAGGGCCTATTGGAAGCAACCCCACGGTTCTCTTCCGCACCTTGAATTCTATCTTGAATGCAGAACTCAACTAATCCGTCAGGCACAAACCTGCTACCAAAGATGGAAGCTTGGTGAACTGGCTGGGGCCTCTGATGCTCAGAGGAAGTCAGTGGAAATGAAAAGCTGGACTGAAGGGTCTCACTTTGAACATAAGCTGGACCAGAACCAGAACCTTGGCCTAAAAATGGCTGTGAGTTGAGAAAGAATCCCAATCTGTTCATATGATCACCGGTTGTTGCTTCATTGTTCCAAGTCACAGTTCTTTGATAATGGTTCTCAAACCCAACTGGGGTTGAGCCAGCAAAAAGGGTTTGAATTTGGTGTTCATTTGAAGGAGGTGTTTGATTTGCACCTTGCTGTGATTGCCAATGAATGAGGCCTGGGTGGTCTTGGAAACAATGGAGAGATAGACCAAGATCTTCCGAGGAGTTGTTGGTTTGAAAATTGATGGGGTCAGTGTCAACATGGGTTGAAATAAAGGCCCCCAATTGCCTTTGGAGCTGAAAATTGTAACCACAAGACTCTGACTGTTGCTGTTGATGTTTTTCTTGTTGTTCAATTGCCATGATTCCACTTGATCCTGCAGCATCATGCCGCCCTTCCTCATGAGTAGGTGGATGCCATGGAGGAAGCTCAGCAAGTTTGTCAATGGAAGACTTCGCCTTCTTGATCAGCCAGTCCACAGCCTTGCTTGGTCTGTCATAGCCAAGTCTGTCTTGAACATCGTAGAACTCAATGGCTGTGTGTGCTGAGAGTCTAACACGGCGATCACGAGGTCCTTTGGAAGTATAGACCTTGCTGTGGCGATCTTTTCTACCTGTGGACCTAACAATGTGCCCTCCTTCCACTTGAACAATTTCTCCTACGCTGCTCCTCATGCCCCTTGTGGATATTCCTCCTCTACTAAGGTTTGTGTCTTTTATGGCTTGGTTTAAAGTTGTTGGTTCTATTTGGTGGGAACTTGTTGTGCCTTCAGCATATCCAGGTTGGTTTTGGGATACTTGATAATGAGCTCTGTGTGTGCTGATCAAGTTTTGTTGTTTCGAGTCATGTGGACTTTGTATAGGGCTAGGTGGTTGATGCTGATTCCCACTGTAATCCAGTTTTTTTTTTTGTTTCCAATATTTCTCCCTTTTCTCTTCCTATATGTGTCTCTCTTCTTTTTTTATTGTAAGCGTTTGTTTTCTCATAGGTTTTCTTTAAGCAGACACACTTTGCTTTGCTTGCTGTTGCTCTTAACTAGAGTCGCCCGTAGTCCTTCATCTGCTGCGGCTGTCCACAGGCTTTAATTGTGACAATTCTGTCACTGCTGCTGGTCCCAAAAGGCCACACCTGCCATTGCAATCTTTCAGATTCCTTTCACCCACTCACAAAGCCATATGAATGAATATATACAAACAAAAAGCTTAATTACTCATGTTACTTTATGTGACCGATGATAATCTTATCTATCTTCTCTTCATATACAGAGAGTAAAAGGACAGGGTAAATCAGTAGATTGGTGATATGGTGATAAGTTAACTGATGATATCTTCTACTTGAGTACTCAAATTTTGAAGAAGAATTAACATGCTGCAGATTTTTTTAATAACTTGAACCTGTTGTACTAGGAGGGTAAAAGCACAAACTACTAGAACATTCAACTATGGATTTATTCAACATTGAGGTGAGGGTATATCACATGGCTCAAAAGGTTTCCAGCAAAGAATTGATGGACACAGTGAGAGGGGAAAAGGTAACTTGGCCTATTGAAAAAGCTTGTGGATGCTTCTGCAAAGCGTGGCAGGGTCAGGTCTGATAAGAAATTAAAGATCTTTTGGTAGTTTGTAGCCCCACAAACGCAAATGTTAAGAGACCATGTCACAATGCTCTCTTGCAGTTTTATATATATATATCTTTGGAACTTAGCTTACCCCTCAACTTTCTCTTTTCAGTCAATCGGGGTATTATCAATCGAGAGTCAAAAACTAATCTCTGAAAATACCGAGATTCATTTAAGAAACCAATCTCTTTCAACATGCATGCGTTGTTTCATGTATACAAACTAAACTTCTAAACATGGTTATTTCATTCACACAAACCATACTACACATAGTTAAAGGGCACGGTTATCTATCAATCATACGACACGACAATGATACCTCAACTTTCTCTTCTAATGCATGTACTCTTTAACCTCTATGGTAACTGTAATAACCCCACGTTGCTAGTGATGAGCTATGATTATCAAGTTCATGAATGATACACATGTAACTATCAATGGCCATCGCTTCCACCCACGCCTTTCCAAGGCTTTGATAATGACATGTAACATTTTGTTGGTTCCTTCCCTCTCTGTCAAGAAATGAGTGGTTCCTCTAAAAAGAACTGCATGCACCCTCTTCTCCCCTATTATGCACTCTCATTATGATGATGTTCTTCTTCGATTCTTATACCAATTCAAATCATGCTTCCTGAAAAGAGAGGAAAATTTTGCTTCCAATAGGAGATTCAAACCCATTTTCAAATAGGCCGCATGCATTTAACGAGCCTGATGGTTCCTTTTTTGGTAGTAGGGAAAGAAACAAAGAAAGGAAAAGGAAAAGAGAGAATAATAATTGTAACAAATTATGGAAACTTTCTCCTTGACCACAATTCAATGCAATTTTTTTCTCTCCCAGTTAATTACCTACATTACATATATTAACGTAAGAAATTGTTTTTGTTTTAATCTATATTAATATATAGACATTAACAAATTTACGCTAATATTGTATTTTGCACTAGCAAAATCCAGAACCTTATAGTTCATAGATTTTTATCCATAAAATTAGATTTGCTAAAATTAGGAAATAATCAAATCACATAAATTTAGTAGAGTGGTCTTTATATAGACCATACATAAATTTAATATATTAATTAATATTAGTAATGATACCTTACGTATACACAGTTTTTTTGAGTAGCGTGATGATTAAGTGAAGAAAAAGTTCTATTAGATAGTAAGTCATTGTTTCGTGAACTTATAATACTAGCAACATTGTTTAATATACTTTTTTTAGTTTATTCGTTTTATTACAAATTCTAAAAAGTCATATAATAGAACGTGAGATTCAATAAATTTTATAATTTCAAATAAATCTTAATCATCAATAGAAGAAAGTAGATTAAAAAAAAGTTAATAAGAAAATGTGTTTTTGACATTTTTTTTTCATATTATTTAAAAAATAAAAATATTCTGATAAACAAGTAAAGTTTGGTTCTTGTAATACTAACAACATTTTTTTTTCATATATTGTATCTACTAGCATCATTTTTTTCTATACTTATAGTAAGATGATAGGGAAATTTTCTTATTCTTTATTCTTCCTCATTCTTTTTATTTTATGTAATAATAAAAGAAAAAAAATATATTTTTACATCCAAAAATATAATAAACCTTTAGACTGAGGAGAAAGAAATAATTCAATGATATATATAATGAAAAAGACTTAAAATTTTGAATACCAAAAGCTATTCTTTATGAGATTAATTAAAGTGATAGCTTTTTGTTATGAGGACTCTTCCTTTTCTTCATGGTTTTATTTCCTCTGAATTTTTCTTTTAACCCTTGGTTCATTATTGATGACTTTAATTTCAACCATAATGATTAGAAAATCACATGAGAAAAAGGTAACGCAGGTTCCTTTAGAACTAAGTCAATTCTAGAATGATGAAGATGATGATAAAAAGTTGGATAAGGCATATAGTACACAACATGCCAAAGCAACACACAAACACTTTATTTTCTTACCCTTTTTCAACAAGGTTACTTTTATTTTTTCCTTTAATTATGCTTTCTCTCTTTATTTGCTAGCATGCTTAGTGTTTTTTTTTTTTTTTTTTTTTTTTGAAGTATCACAATGCTACGAATTTAAACTAAATACATAGAAATAAAAAAAAAATTAAAGAAGTTTTTGAAACTAGAATTATATAAAATAAATGGATTGGTTACATGGCTAAGCTAAATTGGCATGTATTTTCTTTCACTCTACATAATTCTAACCTACACCTTGATCATTATTAATTTTTATTATTTGGTAATGAATGTTCATTAATATTGACAGAAGCCATTTTGACATTCAGAAAATGTAGCTCGGCTATAGGTTTTGATTCTAAAACCATGTCATTAAATAACACCTTTCTAATTAACTAGGGTTTAATTTAATTAATTTGTGTGACAATGGAAAACTAATAACATAAAGTAAATAAATAAATAGGCAGTATCTTTGCTGTTCTGCAGAGATTTTTTTTAAAACTATTACTAATATTATTCTCCTATTTTCTTTGTCTCCCCTCACAAAGTGCATCAAACAGTATTTACTCTTCGCCATTTTTCTCCTGTTCTCTTCTTCTCTGCTCATGCCTGGTTACAAAATGAGAAAGTTAAATGGAAACAACAACTCTAATTTAGTTGTAACAAGTTGTGTGTGAGACGCGGGAAAGTGAGCAATTTGGTGAACTGGTTGGTTGAGTTGGCCTCTGAGCACTGTGGTGGAAGGCGTTTTATCTGGTGAGGGCTGTGAAAACAACTTGACAGAAGAATGGAAAAGCAGGACATAGGGATTGAGGCTGAGAAGAGCATGCATGCATGCATGCATGGATGGATGCATGCAGTAGAGACAAAAGTAGCAAACAAAACCAGTGAACTCCTAGAAAAAGTATGTCAGAGAAAGAGAGAGAGGCAGTGGCTGGCTGAGCCTGACCTGAGCCTCAGCCATGGCCATATGCATGTTATTTTCCCTTACTCTATGCAATAGCATGAAAGCCACCAAACAGGCTCGTGATCCAAGATATATGACTCTGCATTAAGTACAGCCTCTGCATGCGTTTCTTACACTCTGATATAGACACTAGGACTGCACACTCATAAATTACCATCCATTCGTTTCTTTCTCTCGTACATTTTTTAAATGGGACTCACAACAAATTTTGATTCTTGTTAATTTTAATCATACAAAACAAAAGGGTGCATTTTAAAATTAGAAATACTAAAAACTGAACTTGTATGTATTTCAGAAGACCTTTTATTTTCAAAATTTGATTTGTAAAAAAACAATTTATTCATTTCCTTTTGCTCTTTCACGAGTATTGATGAAGAAATTTATGCAATGACCTGAAACTTTGTGGGAGTATAAGTGCATAGCAGAAGCTTAACCAGAGTAAGATGTGATCCATTTGAGGAAGGTGAGTGGAAAATGTTAAAGAAATTAATAATTGATGGTGTTGTGTAAGATATTTGCTGAAATAGAGGAGGTGATGAAGGGTTGAAGATCAGAGTGCTGCAACGTATCTGGTAATAAATTGATTGCGCATGGTTCACATAACAATCAATTATGGTGTCCCACTTTCATGGCTGACAATGCCCCCAAAACTTTCTTTTCTTCAGAACCCCCTTCAACTAAGTTAATGCGTGTTTAAATTCACGTGTTTCTATTATTGTATTAAGAAAAGTATCTACTTTTTTCTTTTTATTATACAAGTTAACACAATTTTATTGAAGTAAAACAATATCAGTGAGTTTTTGTTTTGGGCTTTTGGCCCATGAATTCCGAATTCTAAATTTTGGACTTATCATATCCACGTCTTTCAAGGAGAAGAAGAAAGCGTCCCTTTTCTCAAAATATTCATCTTTAGTTTTTCGGTCGCATTTACGATGAATATATTTTGGAATCAGTCAACATATTATTAAATAATAAATAAATATAAAAAAAATTAAAAAATAAGACAAAAATTTAGGGGTCATAATCCCCTCAATTATCAAGAACATTTATTATTATCACAACTCACAATTTTTCAACCAAATTTAACCTATTACAGGTTGATGAAATAGTTGAATTAGTTCACTAACTCACTACAT